GCACAGGTGGGTGGCACTGCTGGGCACAGGTAGGTGGCACTTCTGGGCACAGGTGGGTGGAGCTAGTGGGCGCACTGCTGGGCACAGATGGGCGGAACTTGTTGGTGGCACTGCTGGGCACCAATCATCAGGGCACTGATCATCAGTGCCCTGATGATCGGTGCCGATCCTCGCTCTGACAACTGCCGGTTCTCGGCAGTACTTTCCTCACGATCTGACAGCATGAGGAAAGTGCAGCCGAGAACCGGCACTTGCATTTCCCTCTGATCAGCGTGTCATTGGACACCGCTGATCACGTGGTAAAAGGCCGGTATGATTGGCCTTTTACCACATCTCGTGATCAGCTGTGTCCGTAGGACACAGCGATCACGGAGATTGCCGGGTGCGCGCCCCCTGGGGCGCGCAGGAGAGCGCGTTCTGGGGGGACGTCATATGACGTCCACCCAGAACTGGCCGGCCGCAGTGAAGCCGTCATTCGGCTATCTGCGGTCGGCAACTAGTTAAAAGGTGTGAACCTCCCATGAGGATCCAATGTTGAAGAATTAACCTTTGATGGCCAAGTATTTTTAACCAAAATAGCAACACCTGCTTTACCCAAAGGATCTGAATCTACAAAAGAGGCTGGGAAATGTTTCAAAGCAAACTTGAGAAAACCCCTCCCTCACAAAAATGGGTTTCTTGTACAAATATGACATGAGAGGCTTTGTTGACCAAATCTATAGATTATGAAATATAATATTTCTCTGATAAGATTTGGTAAATGAAGAGTTATTACCCGGAAGTGAAAGGTTTAACACAACAACCAAAATTTATTGGTGAATAGGATGGAGGTGTAAACTAACACAAACAATCTATCTAGTTACATACAAGAAACATTATTAAGAAAGCTTGAACATATTATAAAATACAAACAGTGAGACAGGAAAGACGTAAGACAAACATTTAGATACAAGTGCAAGGGATATATTCCATATAATTCCGTACAAAAAGGCCATGCTGGAAAAAGTAAAATACCAGATGTAGCGCCCTCCTAGTTAGGCGTAGACGTATGCATTTCGTTTATTTTTGTTTTTCGTACAAAAATATCATTTTTGGAGATTTGGATGCATACGAATTTCCAACTGGACATTGTAATGAATTCCTACAAAACATAAAAAAAAAAAATTCTAATGAAATTAACTAATGCATTCATTTCATGTGTTTCATTTGGATGACGTCACATGATGCAACAGTAGTTCAGGCCTATTGGGAAAATAATTACAATTTAAAATTCATTCAACAATTTGGATTCGGTTAATGAATGGATCTGAATTTGTTCCATTTTGTTTGGATGCACATCAGTCACATGCCAGTCAGCTCATTTCTTTTGGCGGGTTGGAGGGTGGGTTGGAGTCTGAAAATATCAAATCATTTCTAACAGAATCTGTCTGATTTGATAATATATCGAATATATAGCAGTCTTCTGGAAAAACTGCAACATTTTTCAAATCCACCCAGACCAATGCATATACAAAACGAATGCCGGAGATGTGAAAATTATTCCGAAAATAATTGGGTCAACATAATGAATATGACAAACAAAATTCTTTAATGAACGAATGCATCCGAAACAGAATGAAAATTTCCAGCATGCACATGTCTAGTTAGGCTCCTAGGTAAATTTAGTTTTTGGCTTCTGCAGTGAGTGCTTGATTTAGTCTGCTCAGAGTTTCAATGGCTGAGAATTTGATTACTTTCCCTTGCCTCTCGAAGACGTTTCTAGAGCTTAGAGTGGAAGAATTCAAATGTCCATTTCAATATTCAATATTCAGCCAGTTAAATAGTCTGAACTGGTGAGCTGAGAGGAGGGGGGCTGCATGCCCATGGAACCCTATAGAATGAATACTGAACTACTTTGCAAGATTCTTCACCTATGGATTGATTATGTAGCATGATCCAGTAAGTAAAACCTCTATTTGTGCTCATACTGCTTCATGGTCCCCAACTATAAACCATGGACTGTTCCATGTCTACCTTTACTTGTGCTCATATTGCTTCATGGTTCCCAGTCATGAACCTTGGACTGTTCCAGTCTGCTTTTTCTTGTGCTCATATTGCTTCATGGTTCCCAGTCGTGAACCTTGGACTGTTCCAGTCTGCTTTTGCTTGTGTTCATACTGGTTCATGTTTCCCCATTGTGAACCTTGGACTGTTCCAGCCTACTTTTGCTTGTGCTCATACTGGTTCATGGTTCCCAGTCATGAACCTTGGACTGTTCCAGTCTGCTTTTGCTTGTGTTCATACTGGTTCATGGTTCCCAGCCGTGAACCTTGGACTGTTCCAGTCTGCTTTTGCTTGTGCTCATACTGGTTCATGGTTCCCAGCCGTGAACCTTGGACTGTTCCAGCCTGCTTTTGCTGGTGTTCATACTGGTTCATGTTTCCCAGCCGTGAACCATGAACTGTTCCAGTGTGACTTTACTTGTGTAGACACTGCTTCATGGTCCCCAGCTGTGAACCATGGACTGTTCCAGTCTACCTACACTAGTGCTGCTGCTGCTAATTAAGGAATGTCCTCTATTAGCAATACCTTTTGTTTGAAGTATCCTGCATTACCCCAGGTCCCCCTCCCAAGTTTCTACTAGCAAAATAACTTCCAAAAGACAACCCCTAGACTTCCGCCTCAATACTGCTGTACACACATATACTGTATATCCTGGTATTGAGGTGGGTATACTGGGATCATGGTTGAGGCTAGAACCATGATTCCAGTATCATTCTTTACACTGGGCAATTCCTTACAATGTAAAAAGAATCCTAGTGGCTATACAGCCGCTGGATTACTTTTACAGGTGGCTCCCCCCTCCTACTGCTTGAGAGAGCCTAGTAAGGATGGCACAAGTAGCATCATCTTCCCTGGACACAGTTAGAGGAGCTAATGTTGTTCCTCCAACTGTGCGATGTCAGAAACTGGAAACAGCGAGGATTTAATCACTTCCAATTTCAGTTTGTTTGTTTGTTTGTTTGTTTACAAGCCGTTGAGTAAAAGTTATATCTGGATCTTTTAGCATTGCTGTGGTGCTTCAATTACCATTCTTTGTTACTAAATGGCATTCAACTGTTTTGTCCAAATTTAGATTTACAGAACATAGAAGAATATAGCATCACAAGATACTGTGTATGAATGACTTTTTCTCGCTTAGTATACTTTGTTCTCCATAAACATATTCCACAGGAGGTGGAACCTTTTAATCATAATTGCCCCCCCCGAGATACTTTGTAACTCTATTCCATTTCCCTGTGGCTCTATAATGAGACATCATAAACTATAAAATATGATGACTGATCTAATAATCATATTAAATTGCAGATGGCACTAGAACAAACTTCAATGGGTTTATGTGCTTACATCTTGTGCTATGAGGTGGAAAGCTTGTACATGAACCAGGGCTAGATACAGCAAAAGGCCTAACACATCAGCATGGTATGTTCATAACCTCTGGATTTTAGTCTAGATACATCCTAAATATAGAACCATTTATCCAACTGCCCATCCAGAGCTTCTGGTTTATAGACCGGATACATCTTAAATATAGAACCATTTATCCAACTGTCCATCCAGAGCCTCTGGTTTATAGACCGGATACATCCTAAATATAGAACCATTTATCCAACTGTCCATCCAAAGCCTCTGGTTTATAGACCGGATACATCTTAAATATAGAACCATTTATCCAACTGCCCATCCAGAGCTTCTGGTTTATAGACCGGATACATCTTAAATATAGAGCCATTTATCCAACTGTACACCCAGAGCCTCTGGTTTATAGACCGGATACATCCTAAATATAGAGCCATTTATCCAACTGTCCACCCAGAGCCTCTGGTTTATAGACTGGATACATCTTAAATATAGAACCATTTATCCAACTGTACACCCAGAGCCTCTGGTTTATAGACCGGATACATCCTAAAATATAGAACCATTTATCCAACTGTTCATCCAGAGCCTCTGGTTTATAGACCGGATACATCCTAAATATAGAACCATTTATCCAACTGTCCATCCAGAGCCTCTGGTTTGTAGACCGGATACATCCTAAATATAGAACCATTTATCCAACTGTCCATCCAGAGCCTCTGGTTTATAGACCGGATACATCCTAAATATAGAACCATTTATCCAACTGTCCATCCAGAGCCTCTGGTTTATAGACCAGATACATCCTAAATATGGAGCCATTTATCCAACTGTACATCCCGAGCCTCTGGTTTATAGACCAGATACATCCTAAATATGGAGCCATTTATCCAACTGTACATCCAGAGCCTCTGGTTCTGCAACTGTAAGGCCGTTTTCACACGAACTGCCCGATAGGGTCTGCCTGTCCTTTTTTCAGGTGGACCCAATTAGACCCTTCATTCTCCAGTATGGGCAGTCAGATGTAAACAGACTTGTGTCTATTTGCACCCAGCTACATCTGATCTCGGCAAAAACAAAGGGAAGGGGATCTGTTCCCCTCTGTCTGGCTCATTTGACAGTTGGGTGATATCTGATTAATTTACATCTGACTGCCCATAGAGCAGAGTGGGCTGTGTGCACTCTGAATAAGCTGAGCGGACACAGACCTGTCATCTGGCTGCTCTGCTCAGCTAATTTAAAAAACAAATTTGGTCCATGTGAAAGGGGTCTAAAAGTGATCATACAGCTATACAGCCACCCAGATCCTTTTTACATGACAATCCAGAGTCAGCTGGCTGCTACTGCATGAGCTTGTTTTAAACCCTTCAATCTCTGGATATACATAGCATGTCCAAAGAGTTGAAATTGTTATTGACCAACCTAATGTGCAAGCACAAGAATCCTTTCATTTCTTTTATTGCCTTTCATCATAGCCACCTACTTCATCATATTTGTCTATCATCATTAACAGATGCTTGTTACTTTGTTTCTATTCTGTGTTCTATATGTTTACTGCCTATATTATTTCCCCCCAGGCCACATGTGGGCAGAACAAAACAATGGTGACAGAGATTTTTCTTGTGGGGTTCGGCCATCTGCAACACATAAAAAATGTTATTTTTGTTTTGTTCCTCATCGCTTATCTGGCCACAGTAACAGGGAACATGTTAATTATAACGTTGATATCTGCCAGTCCAAGGCTCCATTCTCCCATGTACTTCTTTCTTAGTCATTTATCTGCCTGTGAAATATTGAATACCACCACGATCATACCTAACATGTTGTACATTTTATGGCTGAATGGAGGTTTGATGTCATTCTATGGCTGTATCATCCAATACTACCTAGGATCCGTAACAGGTAGTATAGAATGTCTTCTCTTAACTGTTATGGCGTATGACAGACATTTGGCCATTTGCAACCCTCTGAGATACTCTTCCATCATGAACATTAACACTCGTAACCATCTGGCATCTTGGGCTTGGGTGGCTGGATTTACGGTTATGGCCACATTGCTAATTACGATTTGCCACCTACAGTTCTGTGGTTTGAACACTATTGACCACCTCTTTTGTGATCTAGATCCACTTCTGCAGCTGTCTACTTCAGACACATCATTGATAGCGATGGAAATTCTCTTCATAATCATATTGCTGAACATTGTCCCATTTGTCTTGATCATCGTGAGCTATATCTCCATATTTTCCACCATCTTCAAAATTTCCTCATGGTCCGGAAGACAGAAAGCTTTCTCAACTTGTAGTTCACATCTAGCTTCTGTTTGCTTGTTCTGCGGATCGATATGTGTTACTTATTTGGTTCCTTCTCAGCAAAATGGGATGAAGATAAATAAGTTTTTGCCTCTCTTGTACACTGTTGTGACTCCTCTTTTAAATCCAATTATTTATAGTTTGAGAAATCAAGAAATAATAGATTGTTTTAGGTATTACTTTAAACTAACTAATAAAAGTTAACAGTCCATTTGCATATTTTTAATACATTTCAACAGTCATCATGGGCTTTTGATGAGCAGATCACCCAAAACAGGGATGGGTTATTATTTTTGAGCAAAGCATATTTAAATTTTGCAACCAAGCAGTTTTGGAAAAGATTGGAATGAATGTGGTGCTGCCATTTTATAGACAACAAAGAATTTCAAAGCACACTTACCAGCCAGCCTGCAAAACAACCAATTTGGCCCCGTCTAACAGTTGGCGTTAAAAAGAGAGGACTTTGTTTGCACACAATTGAAAATACATGCTGTAACAGAGCAGGGAACTGTCGCAGGATAAATGCAGATAGAAGTGGTCAGGTAATGGACACAGGGTCTGCACAGGTGAGGAACGCAGAACTGCAGAGCATAGATTTTGAGTGGAGAAAACTTCTGTTGCAGCTTTCTCCAGATGTTGGTATTTCTGGATGGGGCTCCGTAGTTTGGAGATTTCAAAGTGCCTTGGGAGGGAAGAAATCTCCAATCCAGTGTCCAGAGTTTGAAAGCAGCCAGCACACTAATGGTACAGGTGTGTGTAGGGCCAGGGGTGGATTAACCATTTGGAAACTCAGGCACTGCCCGAGGGCAAGGGGTCAGTAGGGGGCCCCATGAGATGCCCCTGGTACCTTTTTCATAGGCTTTTTTGAGTTTGGGCAAGGATACAGGGGCCCCATGATCCCCTATTGCCCGGGGGCCCCATGAGTTGTCAGTCCGCCCCTCTGTAGGGCTTTAAATGAGTGTCTCTGTGTGAGACTGATGCTGGGTGTGGTCCAAGGACTCCAAGGCTGTGTATTTTCGGAGGGCTCCACCCCGGCAGACAGGAGGTCATTGTCAGGAGTCAGGAGGGCTCCACCTAGGAGAGGTGGAAGCCAGAGCAGCAAGGGGGCTGCAAACTGTGTGCAAGTGGCTGATAGCTGTGTGCAAAAAAAAAAAATATTTTGGAAGGGGGCTGTGTGCATACAAGGAGTCCAACTGCTGTGTGCTGGGACTAGCCAGTGGTCTGGGAGACCCATATAAAAGAGAGAGGTACTGCTACTGCTAACCAACAAGGCTGATAAAGAGAGCCAAGAGGCTGAATATTTCATTTGTTTTGATGGTGAACACCCCTGCGTGGGAAGCATGTTGTGGAACTTTCTTTTAAATAAAATTGGGCTGAAAGGCCTTTAAAAAGGAATAAAGCGAGTGGCTGTGTGCATTAAAAAACTCTACATTTGATGCTAGTTCCCACAATGCGTAAGCCATAGTCCCGGTTCGAATGAATGAAGACAGATTGACAGATTTGCTGCTAAGCTTGTAGTCCTTTTTGTAGACCTGGAAGGTAGGATAGCCAGCACCTGATGCACTTAGGTGGAAGAGACGTGACCTAGAAGCTGATCCAGGGTCTTGCACAGTTAGGGAACTGGATGAGGAAATGTGGCCAGAAGCCAGGCCAGGGTCATTTATATATATATAGATAGGCAGCTGATAGCAGAGGTAGGAGACAAGTGGGGGTCATGCACAGGTAAGCAGCCAATAACAGAGGCAAGGTCTGAAGACATGCAGGAGTCATACATGGGAGATCAGACAGAAGCAACGTCAAACTGCAAGCCAAGGTCACGATTAGGAGAGAGTGAAGGAAATAACCAGGGCAAGCTGAACCAGCAACAGGCAGCAGGAGAACCAGGAAAGAGGAAAAAGGGCAATGGGTAGTTGGAGATCACCCAGTGATTACGCCATTCCTTCCTTCAAAAAGTGTGTTCTGTGCCAGATCTAAGATTGAGCATACGAATGCAACATGTGCCAATGTGTGAATGTGCTCTGGTGCGTGAACATGTGCCAATGCGCAAACATTCGCACAAACGTATGCACATTGATCCTCAGATGTGTGCATACACAGGTTACTGCCAGGAATTCCTGTATGCTAGCACATGCTCACTTCCATTAGTGTCCTGCCAACAGAATGTCAGCCTTTTTAATACATTTGGAGGTACAGAGTTGGCTTCTTTCAGTCAGAAATATGAATACTAAATGTATTTTCTAGGAACATAATATATGAAAATGGAATTTTGGATACAGCCTGAAAAATTAAATTAAAGTGCATTTTTTAAGGTGTTTCTAAAGGCAGAAATCTTTACCTTCATACATTTTATACATGAAGGTAAAAAACCTTGTGGGTGCAGCTCCACTGGCAGTCCCCAACCCCTCACACACACTTATAAGGAACACTTATAAGGAACACTTTTTAACCTCTTCACAAATGTGCGGCCTCCCGGCGTCTGGGCCTAGACGCCGAGAGGATGCATATTTGCATGCAATTAAGAAAAACATATGTGCTGAGAGCGCGCGCGCTGCGCGCTCCCAGCACACATGTACGGTACTCATGGAAAGGTCCCGACCTCCTCTTTCGATCAGGACCTTTCCCAATAATGGCGAATCACGACGATCACATGACCCTAAAACCCTGCCCCGCCTCTCGGCTTCTGAAACCCTTAAAGGGCCGAGAGGCGCAGGCGCCACGGGGTTAATCAGAGTATAGCATCAAGTCAATTAAATTCCTGGGATATTTACCTGGTCAGTTAAGTAGCAGAGGGGGTTGTTAATCAGTTCCAGCTGCTTTGGTGCACTAGATAGGCAACAATGAGACAACTCCCAAAACAGGAATGATTTTACAGGTGGAGGCCACTGACATATTTTTCCCTACTCATTTTTTTCTGAATGTTTTTCACTGTTTTACATTTGGCTAGGGTCAGTGTCACTACTGGTAGCATGAGGCCATACCTGGACCCTACAGAGGTTGCACAGGCAGTCCAACTCCTCCAGGATGGCACATCAATACGTGCCATTGCCAGTAGGTTTGTTGTGTCTCCCAGCACAGTCACAAGAGCATGAAGGTGATTCCAAAAGACAGGCAGTTACTCTAGGAGAGCTGGACAGGGCTGTAGAAGGTCCTTAACCCATCAGCAGGACTGGTATCTGCTCCTTTGTGCAAGGAGGAAAAGGATGAGCGCTGCCAGAGCCCTACAAAATGACCTCCAGCAGGCCACTGGTGTGAATGTCTCTGACCAAACAATCAGAAACAGACTTCATGAGGGTGGCTTGAGGGTCTGACATCCTCTAGTGGTCCCTGTGCTCACTGCCCGGCACCATACAGCTCAATTGGCATTTTCCATTGGAAATCAGAATTGGCAGGTCCGCCACTGGCGCCCTGTGCTTTTCGCAGATGAGAGCAAGTTCACCCTGAGCACATGTGACAGACATGAAAGAGTTTGGAGAAGCCATGGAGAATGTCATGCTACCTGTAACATTGTTCAGCATGACCATATTGGTGGTGAGTCAGTGATAGTCTGGGGAGGCATGTCCATGGAGGGACACACAGACCTCTACAGGCTAGACAATGGTACCCTGACTGCCATTAGGTATCGAGATGAAATCCTTGGATGCATTGTCAGACCCTACGCTGGTGCAGTGGGTCCTGGGTTTCTGGGTACAAGACAATTCCAGGCCTCATGTGGCAAGAGTGCATGTGCAGGCAGTTCCTAGAGGATGAAGGAATTGATAACAGTTGTATGGTTTGTTTATTTCTTTTGTTCTTTCTCTTTTCTTTGAGTCAGAGTTGCTATATCAGAGTTGGATATTTCAAATATCTTTTTTGCTCCTGTCCATCATCTAGATTCACTTTGGAGATATTCCATAGTTCAAGCTCCCAATCCTTCTTCTGGGACTCAAGTAAGTGTTTTTGCCAATGTCCCCAGCTCATACCATTACCATTGCCATGTTGAAAAAAATAACTATCTATAAATGCTAGAGGCTTGAATCACCCAGCCAAGCGTGCATCTATTTGGAAGGAAATAAGGCAGATATATTGTGTGCACAGGAAATTCTTTTTCACAAAGTGCCAAAATCCCAACTTCCCACATCTATTTCTACCATCTTTTCCAGCAAAGAAGAGAGGAGTGTTATTATCAATAAAGGACACTCTTGCTTTTCAGTTGATTACTGAGTGATAGATCCAGCAGCAGTGGCGTCCCTAAGGGGGGGGGGGGGTTCGGGCCACATCGTGTGACACCATCACAGGGGGTGCAGGAGCAAGATGCCGGCACATTGACATCTGCCCCCGCCCCGGGGTAGTGGTAAAATGAGTATCCCCTAAAGCAATTGCGCATGTGCCGGTTTCAGGCCGAAGAAGCCGATCGCCGGCTCTGTGCTAAAGTGGAAGATCGGCTTCTTTGGCCTGAAACCGGCACATGCGCACTTGCTTCAGGGGATACATATCTTCAAGGGATACTCATTTTACCGCTACACCAGCACCGCTCCTTCCTCTCTGGAGGGGTGACACCACGTGTTACCCCACCGGGTGACACCAACCCTAGGGACGCCTCTGTCCAGCAGG